AGTTCCAGATGCATGTTTCAGTCATTTTTCAGTTGTTTCTGACTCTTCATGACCCCATTTGGGGTTTTCTTGGTAAATACACTGGAGTGGTTTGCCATTTCCTTCTCCAGCTCATTTTACAGATGAGGAACTGAGGCAAACAGGGTGAAGTGTCTTGCCCAGGGTCACACAGATAATAAGTGCCTGAAGCTGGATTTCAACTCAGGTCTTCCTGACTCCAAGGCCAGCACTCTATCCACTGGGCAAAACTACCAGATACATAATAGGTGTCAATAAATGCTCATTGAATTGAATTGCCTTGATGCTCTATTGAGGGAAGCTCTGAAGTTATAGAACAAGTAATATTTATTAAGCACCTCAGCACTATGCTACAGGATGCAGAAAATACAATCTCTGCCCTCCAGGGAGCAGGCAGGAGCAATAAATGAAACAGCAAATAAACAAGAGAGCACAGAAATTACCAAGTGGTATGGAGTAAATACACAAAGTTAGTGAATGTGTGTGTGTGTGTGTGTGTGTGTGTGTATGTGTGGAGAGAAAGAGAGAGAGAGAGAGAGAGAGAGAGAGAGAGAGAGAGAGAGAGAGAGAGAGAGAGAGAGAGAGAGAGAGGAGAGAGAGAGAGAGAGAGAGAGAGAGAGAGAGAGAGAGAGAGAGAGAGAGAAGAATCAGGCTTGAAGCTTGTTGAATGACACAAGGAAAGGCTTAAAATTGGAATGAACATGGCATGTGCAAGGGAGATTGAGATCAGTTTCACTAGTGTGGTTGTAAAAAAGAGAGAGAGAGAGTGCTCCAAGTGGAAGGAATCAATGTCCATAGCTATCACTGAATCTTTCCTTCCTCTCTTTCCACCTCTCTGTCTACCTCAGCATTACAGACTCCTCTTGGGATGCTGAGGTAAGATAGCACTTCACCACAACTAGGATGTTAGGGATACACTGTTCTCTCCCAATACTGGCTCCCTCTATGGTGAGGAGGATGTGGAAAATCATAATCATAGAATCTTAGATTGAGAAGTGACCTCAGAGGGAGAGATTTGGGTAACAGCTATAGATCATTAATATTGATTTCTGTCTCTTTCTTTCCCCACCTTTGTTTACCTTGTAAAGGTGGGAAGGGGATATAAGGCAAAGACATAAAACACTATAATAAGATATAATAGAGGGGAAATCAAACCTAACAGTAATAATCTTGAATGTAAATGGAATTAACTCACCAATAATAGAGAAGGGTGGCAGAATAAGGCAAAAAGCAAAACCTAACAATATGTTGCTTAGAAGAAACATTTAAAATGTAAAGTTCATCCAGAGTCTAAATGAGGAGTTGGAGTAGAATCTATTAAACCTCAGAGAAATAAAAAAAAAGGAGGGATGACAATTATGATCTCAGACAAAGTAACAGTAAAAACAGAAAGAATTAAAAGAGATAAGAAGGGAAAGTAGATGAAACCACACATAAGGAAACAAAATCAGTACTAAATACATGTGAACAAAATGATCTAACATTTCAGATTTAAAAAGAAAGTTACTCAATCCCATGGAGAACTAGGCAGGAAAAAAGGTTTAGGAACTTCATTTTGACTTTTGCGGTCCCAGACAAATCTAGTAGAAGGATAAACAAGAAGTTAAGGACCTGAAGATAATTTTAGAAAAAAATAGATATGGTAGACTTTTGGTAGTTATTGAATGGGCATCATAAAAAGCATATCAATTTTCATGTTTTTATGGCACCTTTAAAAAAACTGAGCAAATCTGGGACATAAAGTAGTCATAAGCAAATGCTTAAAAGAAGAAATATTAAACACAATTTTTAGACTACAATGCAATAAACATTGTAATCAATAAGGGAAATTTGAAGAACAAGAATGCCCTCTTCCAAAATGGTAGTGGATTTCTCTACACTAAAGGTTTCAAGAAAAGGCCAGATACTTGTCAGGTATGTTATAGAAGGGATTTCTTGTTTAGCACCAAATTAAGCTAGAAAGACTCTGAGGTCCATTATAACACCGAGATTCTAAAATCTTCAACAGGTAGTTATCCATGCTTTCCTTAAAAACCTCCAATTATTTGGAAGTCACTACCCCTTGAGTCATCCAATTTTAGGTCATTCTAACTGTTAAGAACTTTCCCACTTCTATCAGGCTAAAATCAGCCACTGCAATTTTCATCTATTTCTCTTAGTTCTGCCCTCTGGAGCCAAGATGAACAAGCCTAATTTTTCTTCTATATCAGAGTCCTTAAAATACTTAAAGACATTTATCTTATGTCCTCTAAATCTTCTCTTCCTCAGCCTAGTTCCTTCATCCAATCCTTACGTGGCATGGTTTTGTGAACCCAACCTTCATGAACCTGGTCATCTTCTTTACCACACACTGTCTAGTACATCACTGTCCTTCCTAAAATGTGGCAACCAAACTCAACATATACCCCTTTCTCTTTAGTTAAATTGAGACAATGTAGGAAATTCCTCTGCCCTGGGATTTTAAGTTTTAAAAATTTGTTATTCAAACATCAACAAACATGAATATTTCCACATACAAAGAACATAAAAAGAGGATTATATATGAAGCTGTAAGTCTCATAATAAGTCACATAAAATCATAAATCTCAAAAATAAACTTAATTTAAGCCCATAATAAAGTCTATACTTTAGTTTTAAAGCTGTCTTGATTTTCTTTGTCCTCCTCTGAGCTTTATTCTCTTTTTTCTGTACAGTTTAAAAAACGTTTCATTACCACTTTTTTCTTTTTTTTTTGCATCACTATCATTAGCCCTCTTCTTCTCTGCCCTGACTCCGTTACTCCCTTATTTAAAAAAAAAAACCAATAAGCACAGCAACAACAAAAACAACAAATTCATACATTATCTATGTCAGAAAAATCTATGTCTTTTCTGCATTTCTAGGCAGTCATCTGTCAGCAACAGGTGGCAAATATGTTTCATAACAATCTCCTGTAGTTGTAATTGGTTATTGTATGGATTAGAGTCATTCAAAGTTGATTTCCTTTGCAGTTTTTATAATTATTCCTAGATTGTTTTCCTTGTTCTGCTCTCTTCACTCTGCATCATTTCATACACACTTTCTCAAGTGTCTCTGAGTCTGTTCCTTTTTTTTCATTTCTTATGGCAAAATAATATTCCATTATATTCATATACCATAATTTGTTCAGCCCTTACCAAATTGATGGGCATTCTCTTAGTCACCATTTCTTTGCTATAATAAAAAGTGTGGCTATGAATATTTTTATACATGTGGGTCCTTTCTATCTTTGACCTCTTTGAAGTGTATGTCAAAATTTATTCATAGTTTAATGACTTTTCGCATATAGTTCTGAATTTCTTTCCAAAATGGTCAGACCTAATCACAGTCCACCAACAGTGAATTGTTCTGTATTCTTGTTCTTCCACAGCCTCAGCAATAATTGTAATTTTTCTTTATTTTCATTTTTGCCAATCTTAAGAGTGAAATAGAAATGCAGTGTTGTTTTAATTTTTTGATAGCATACTTTTCTTCTCCTGAGAGTCATTTGTTCACATTCTTTGATCATTTATCCATTTGGCAGTGGTTCTTGTTCAAATTCATTCCATATATATTGAATATCAGATGTTTATCAGAGAAACTTGCTGCCAAGGGTTTTTTTTTTCAGGTAACTGTTTCCCTTCTGATTTTCAGCTGCACTGATTTTGTTTGTGCAAAATCTTTTCAACTTAATGTACTCAAAATTGTCCATTTTATCTCCTATAACTTTCTCTATTCCTTGTTTGGTCAAGAAGTCCTTGCCTAACCATAATAGCTTCCTATTCCTCTAATTTGCTTGTGATGTGTTCTTTTACATCTTTTATATATACATTTGGAACTTACTGTAGCATATGATGTGAGATGTTGGCCAGAAATAAAATTCTTCCAAGTTTCTTTCTAATTTTTCCAGCAATTTTTGCCAAATAATGGGTTTCTACCTTGTATTTACTGTTACTGTGTTTGTTTGCTCCTGGGTCTCATGTACCTACATTTCTTCTTCAGGCAATCAATTACTTTTGATGATGACTGCTTTTTCGTGTACTTTAAGGTGAAATACTGCTATGTTCCCTCCTTTTTTTTTTACATTTTTTTCAATATTTTCCTAGAGATTCTTGACCTAGTAGGGATGTTTCAAAGGAGAAATTTAGCTAATAAGAAAACAAAAAAATTATTGAAAAATATACTAGGCATAGACTTATCATTATGAATTATAAGATAAATTACATATTGATTTTAAAATCTTTATTTCATCTCAGCTGATCCATGTAATCTTGTGAGGTAGGTATATACGTATTATTTCCTTCTTTTTTGAATAGATGAAAAAAATGACTCAAAGAGTTTTGCTTTGCTCATGGTCACATGGTAGAAAGTATCAGAGCTAAGATCTGAACCTAGGTCTTTCTGAATTCAAGAACAGTACTTTTCCTTATGTCAAAAAAAAAAAGAGTCTAGCATGGCTTGGCTTGGCAGTAATATCATATAGGACTCCTTGCCCCGGTTCTTTTTCTTCAACTCAAACCTGCTTGAAGTGGGTCAGGGGTTCCAGCCCCACTGTCCCTTTCTCAGTCTTTTGGTATTTTTCTCTCTTCCTCTTACCTTCAGTTCTTCCTCTTATGGGAGCAATTGGATCAGAGGGCCCAGTCCCACTGATAAGATGGTTGATGTGTTAATAGACCAACTCTGGCAGAGAAAGAAACTATAAGACATACAATTGGATAATTAAAAGTGTCTCTGATGTAGAAAGGCCTTACTTCCTTCTCTTCTTATCTGAAATCTTCCCCAAAGCTGTTGGGGAAGCTTTCCATTCTTTTGTGAGTCAAAGAATGACTTAAAGTCAATTCTCACTTCCATGGCCAGAGGGCAAGGGAGAAATAAGCCTTTGCTGGGGATAACACTTTTATCGATCCTTCCCTGATTTATTCATTAAATGTTTTATTTTAAAAAAACGCTAAGTTAGTGCCCTCTGTTTTTTGCCCTCTCTTCAGATGGAGGATGTAGGAGAAGTCATTGAAAAAATTCGGATTGGACATGACAATGCAGGCATGAATGCTGGGTGGCACTGTGACCATGTGGATATCCGAAGGCTCCTGCCAGATAAAGATGTATGTTCCTGCCCTAGGATTTCCTGCAACTACTTGGCAGTTTTTCCTGTTTTGAGAAGTTAAAGAGTTTGCAAAGGGGATGTGAAAATTGCCTTGTCCACTGAGAACTCAGTGCTAGATTTTTTTTATTAAATGACTCAAAAACATCTTCAAATCTAAGGTGAAAAGAGTCACATATTAATTTGATTTATACATTCAATCAACATACATTTATGAAAGACGTGATGTGCGGAGTATTGTGTTAGATATGGGAGATGCAAATTTCAGATAATATGTGGTCTTTGTTCTCATGAAACTTCGAATCTAGTATAATAGTGAATGATGTAAACACAGATAGCTAAACATAATATTGCCTAACTAAAATTAAGTCGTACAAAACAAAGTGTTCTGCCAGGTCAGAGGAAGAAAGTTGTTATTGATAGGGTGATCAGGTAGGGTTTTATGGAGAAGATGATATCTGAATTGGATTTTAAATCATGTAAGATACAGCATGGTATAGTAGATAGGGTCAGGAAGACCTGGGTTCAAGTCTTACTTTCACACATACTGGTCATATGACCCTGGGAAAGTCATTTAATTTCTCAATGTCTCAAGCTACTCTCTTAGTTTGTAAGTGACAGAGAAGGTGCCCATCTGCATTCGTAGACGGAATTTCCTCATCAGGACTTCCTTGCACGGTTGAAATCACAGGTCTGGTTAAAAAACAACAGTAAATAATAGGCAGGAATTCAATAATGAAGAGGGAAAAAGGGATAGTGAAGCCATAGGGAACAGTGAAAACAGGCACATCAAGGCAGAAAAGCACAGGGAGTACCTCAGGGCCAGAAAACAGTCCAGTTTAACTGGGGCATGGAGGGCACAGAAGAGAACAATATGACAAAATGCCAGAAAAGGAGGGTGGCACCAGATTGAGAAGGGCCTTGGATGCCAAACAAAAGGAATTTGAACTTTAGTTGACAGGCAGTTGAATGCAACTTAAAATTTTTGATTAAATGAGTGACATGACCAGATCTGTGCATGAGGAAGACCATTCTGTCAGTGGAATAAAGGATAGATTTGAGAGGGTAAGTTTGTAGATAAAATTGGGATGTCAGCAGGCTATTGTAATAGCCTAGGAAGATGGTAATAAAGGCCTGGAAGAAGATGGCATCAGTGGATGTAGAGGGGAAAGAATGAATTTTAGGGAAAATTGCAGAGGAGGGCAGCTAGGTGGTGCAGTGGATAGAACACAGGGCCTGGAGTCAGGAAGACCTGAATTCAAATCCAGTCTCAAACCAGACACTTGATACTTACTAGCTGTGTGACCCTGGGCAAGTCACTTAACCCCAATCGCCTCACCAAAAAAGAAAGAAAGAAAGAAAGAAAGAAAGAAAGAAAGAAAGAAAGAAAGAAAAGAAAGAAAGAAAGAAAGAAAGAAAGAAAGAAAGAAAGAAAGAAAGAAAGAAAGAAAAGAAAGAAAGAAAGAAAAGAAGAAAGGAAGAAAGAAAGAGAAAGAGAACCAAGTATCTCTGTAATCAAGGAAGGAGAGCATTTAGAGTGAGAGGAGGCAGCCAGAAGTGTCAACTATAACATAGAAGAAAGGAAAGGAGGGTTGGGAAAAAAAGATCCTTGGATGTGGCCATTTGAAGGGCATCAGTAGCCTCTGACAGCACAATTTCAGCAGAATGATGGAGGGCAGAAACCAGGCACCAAGCCCTTTAGTAGAGCAGAAATGGAAAAGTGGAGACCTGGAGGGTGCACAATTTTGTAAAGCTGTTTGTCAGTGAAGGGCAGAAGATAGGTCTAGCCATCTGCCTCTCCACATTCCAATCCACATTGTGTACTGACATCCATACCTCCATAAATACACACATACATCATGGCCACATGCATACATACATGCATATACATAAACATGTACATGACTACACAAGTTCATGTAGTCTAAACATACTTCTTTCAATTGCCTCTATCCTCCTGGTTACAAATTGGCAATGTGTTAAAAGGAGACCCAGGGCATCGTACTATACTTAAGACAGCCTCACAACATAGTGACACATCTATACGTCACTAATTGGTAAAGGCCAGCCTCCTCCCCTACACCATCGTTTTCTTAAAGGTCATCTGCTGCATCCTGGGCCATCACCAGTTGTCCTGACATATGTTTTTGCCACTGGATTCCAATGACCCTGGAGGAGAGAGCAAGGCTGATGACTTTGTGCAGCTCTGGACTGAGGCAAGGAGAGGTTGTGGTCACCCAGCTAGTAAGTGTCTGAGGTTAGGTTTGAAATCAGGTCTTCCTGACTCCAGGCCCAGCACCTATCCATTGAACCACCTAGCCAACCTTAGAGCAACAATTCTAAAACTTGATAGTTGCTCAAAAGATAAAATTTAAGACGGAATGGAATGCAATGGGATTTAGACCAAAGAGTCTTTGAACAATTGACCTGTTGCCATTTTTGTATGAACATGTAGCTCTATGATATATAGCTGTCCCAATTACCAGAGACTCCTGCCTGAATATTGATTGGCTTGCTTAGAAACTGATGAACTAGGCATTTTCCCTATTGAAAGTTGAATTTCTTTTCCTTTCCCCTTTGCTCTAGGGGTCAGAGACTGTGACATTTGCCTGTGATCGATGGCTTGCCACCTCTGAAGATGATAAGAAGACTATCCGAGAACTGGTCCCATTTGATATGTTTACCGAGAAAGTGATGAAAGATGGGTCTTTAAGACAAATTTATAAAGAAATAGAGGAACCTCTGGACAGTAAGTATGATGACAGGATCTGTGTTCTACCCTGAACCCCAACCCTTGATGTTATGTGATTATGAATAATGAAGGTTTGATTTTAAGCATAAACATTTTAAAACATTGATCATATGGAATGAACATTTTTCTAAAATACATTGCACACTCCTCTGCCTCCTTAAACAATAAATACTGAACATCATTTAACTTCACCTTGAGGGTATCATCATAAACATTAACTTCTGAACTACGCAATAATACATTGATGTTTTTGTTTCATGTTTGTAGCCTACATTAAATGTCCCCAGACTGCCATGCTTTCTAAGAGCTTGTGTCTGCTTTGATGGTTTTTCTGTCTCTCCCCTTGATGTCAGGCTCTCATCTATCATCTCCTACAACTGCCAGCATGCCATCTTGTAGCAGACTCTCTCCTAATTGGCTTCTTCTCATCTGCTGTGGGCTTGAACATCAGATAGTCAACTGTGTCAGAACTGTGTGTAAAATAAGAGTAAAAAATCTAAACAAGTGTATAAGAAGTTCTAAGAAAAAAGCATGAATATAAATCTTCTGTATATAGACTTTGTAACATCTGTTTTGGTAGTTCAGAAGCTTTTGGTGCTCATATTGGGTGAAGACATGTTTTAGATAGACATAATTCTTGGGCAGCTGAGATTCAAATAGGTGAGATCTTATTGTATGACCAAATCTCATTATCCCGGGGCTGGTGATCCTGCTTCAGATTATGTAGACTCCTGGCTTCTTCTCACCTCTATTTTTTTGACTACTCATCTTTCAGCTGTTCACTGAGTCTTCTTCAATGGATAGGTTGTTATTGCTGCAGTGTCTGTCGTTCGTTCTCGAAGAGGACGATGACATCAAAGAGGTGATGACATACTTGCATTTGACTTTGATTTGAGGGAGGGAGGGCTGTGTGCAAGGTCACCAGCCTCACTCTCTTCTCCTGAGTCATCTGGGTCCAGTGGCCAGATATTCATGAGGACCACTGGAGATGGCCAAGCCATTGGATAGGTAGGGTAAAGATGAGGAGGACAGATTTATTTCAATCCATTTTTCTTCTGATCTGAAGAACTTAATCCTTTTTCATCTCACTGTCCCTAGTTGCTATTCTAATTCAGCCATATGTCTTCAAGCATAGTGAGTATCCTGAATGTTATGGTTAGGGCACTTTTACATTTAGAGAAAAATCACCTTTATCAGAAGTTAGTGCCTGCTCCTAAGAAAGCCAAGGCATGAGTTCAAGGTCAATGTGAGCCAGGCAACTTTTCTTATCCCTCATCTTCTTTGATCTCTGTATCACATTTGCAGTGTCAACCAACCACTTCTTGAAACTTTCTTCTTTCATTTCTATGACTTTAGCCACTAGATAGCACATCAGATAGAGCATTGGGCTTGGAATCAGAAAGACTCACCTCATGAGTTCAAATCCAGCCTCAGCCACTTACTAGCTGTGTGACCCTGTGTAAGCCACTTAACCTTGTTTGCTTCATTTTCCTCATCTGTAAAATAAGCTGGAGAAGGAAATGGCGAACCATTCCAATATCTTTTCCAAGAAAACTCCAAATGTGGTCATGAAAAGTTGGCTATGTCTGAAATGACTCCGCAACATTCCATGACTTTGAATTTTTTCTATTTCTTATGTGAGCACCTCATCTTTCCTCCCTGCCCTATCTATGAGTGTTCCCTAAAATCTTTTCCCCTTGACTTCTTGATGTTTTATTGTTTTCCTCTCCCTTTATCTTGCCCTATCATCGTCATCGTCATCATCATCATCATCATCGTCCACTCTCCAGTTGCTCTTCCAACTTTTCCAATAAGTTCATCCATTCTTGCAGTATATAAGACACATCAAAAAATCAATCTTATCACTTGACAACAATGCCTGTTTTTTTGACTAAAAACAGGTTTATCCAACGTGATGACTAATCTTATTCCTCCAAACTGGGCTCTAAATGACTTTCAGCTATTTCTAAAAAATTGAATGTCTTCAAAGAATGATTAATTTCCATCATTGCACATTTATAAGAGAATCTATCACAGGCTCAAGAGTTTGTTCCAAAAAGGATCTGAAAACTGGCAGTACTGCTGGGCTACAGAGTCTCCCAAAGTGATTATTTGAAGGAGACAGTGCTCATCAACACATGTAAATTAGGGGATGTGTTTATTTGGTTTTTTTTTAAAGTTATACTATATTATAAAGGAGACATTATAGTTTGCAGCACTTAAATCACAGGTCCTTCTTATAAGTGCATTTCATATATTATTGTATTTTACACCAATCAATGAACATTTTTTTATTAAGCACCTACTACATGTCAGGCACTATGCTTAGTTTGGGGGATACAAAAGAGGCAAAAGACAGTACCTGCACTCAGGAAATTCATAGTCTAATAGAGGAGATAACTTACAAACAAATATATGCAGACAGCTATATGCAGGATAAATAAAAAATAATTAAGAAAGGGGAGGCACTAGAATTAAGAGAGGTTAGGAAAAGCTTCCTGAAAAGAGATGAGATTTTTTGCTAGGACTTATAGGCAGCTAGGGAAATCAGGAGGATGAATTGAGGAAAGAGAATGTTCCAGGCGTGGGAGACAGCCAGCAAAAATACCCAGAGCCAAAAAATGGAGTGCCTTATTGGTGGAACAGCCAATGTCAATAGACCAGTGTCACTGGATCAAATCTGATTAGTGTCATGGATGTTCATCTATCTATTGACCTATGGTCCATTTTCATCATACTTATACACATACCCACACACATGAACATACCCATACACACAAACTTACAGATATAGACATACAGATACACACACACACACACACACACACACACACCCTTCTCTTTCCACTCCCTCTTCTCTTCATATGTTCTTGGTTACGCTTTGATAAAGGAGATATTTGGGAAATGATGCAGCATATCACAAATTATCCAGTTCATTCTGTGATGCCAAAGTTTTTTGAAATTCTGAATGAACAACAGTGGTATAGACAAAATCACCAGACAATTAAAGACCCAAACAAACCACTTTGCCTGCCTGAATCATTTGTATTAGCCTACCTAGATCAAATCATTCAGAAAAGTAGGAAATCCCACCCCTGCCTGTTTTTTTCTGTTTTATGGAGGAAGCTCTCATGGCTGAGTGGAAAGGACAACCCCAAATCCTAGCTTCTGGCCTCTGTAATCCTACTGGGCCTGTAGAACAGGAGGGCTTTCTTTTCCATCATGTTCACACCAATCTTTTTTTTTTTTACCTCTAGTGCTCCCTGAATCTGGTTGCTAATCATTTATAGATTAGAATTTCAGTTACAACAAACATTTGTTTTGTCCCCAACTTTGAGATGCTATAAAATTCTATGAATGTGTCCCTTTTCATTTAAAATTCCCAGGAGAGTGCCCTGGAAAGCTGCCTGAATAACCCTCTTGGGACCATCGTATGTTACTAATGCGCTATTAAAACTGTGTTGCTCTTTATACTGTTTCTAGGGAAACATTCTTTCACTAATGATCAGTGCCTAAGGTGGGCATAGGGAGGGAGGAGGGATCCAGAAATAGCCACATTTCATTGCACATCCACATTGCTCAGCACCCAAGAGCTGAATCAGTTTTCCTAGATGCTCCAGGTCCCAGAGAGGAAAAAGAAATATGGCTATTTAATGACAGCCCCAGTTACATTGCATCACATTCTGAGAACAAGGTTCAAAAAGACTTGCCTTCCATGGAGTCAAGATACTTACATTGACAGACCAGTTACACCCTATGGCTGTTAGAGACCCAAGGCTGTCTATGTCTTGATGATGCCAATAAATACAGCAGGAAAGTGAAAAATTCAATGAACTGCTTGTTTTGTCTGCATTGCAGCCAGAGTCTAAACTCTGGCTTCTATCAAGTTTAGCCAGAGGGGCATTGGTTATATTGAATCTCTTGAACAATAATGGAGTTGTTTCAGATAGGAGTCACTCGAAAATGAGAAACACTAATAATTTTATAATGTGGATTTAATGATCGCAATATCGCAACTTTCAGTTAGTTCTCGTGAGAATTAACATTGGCCAACCCTCTCAGGCTAATCTTGATGTGTGAATTTGGATTCATCTTTATCCAGGACTGGGACTAAGGTGGAGTAGATAGCTATCTATCATCCATGTCTCTTAAATTTCTTCAAAAAATTTTGGATGCACTCCATTTTCTGAATAGCTAGCTTTCTACATCAGATATGGATCTGGATGTTACATCTAGATATGCAGCAACCAAAAAGGAAAAGGAGTGTTATGTCTATATTGTCTATATCAGAAGGTTCTCAGCTCATCATATGAATCCTTTCCATCCGTCTTCTAAAGGATCTGGTCAATATATCTGTTTGCATAAGTGTTGTGTGCTGGAACATCTGTGGTCATATCTGAATCCTCACTACTTATCATTTGAGTCTATGTGTTTCATTGATACTACCTATGAATTTAGCTCCCTTGAACTGAGTCATGTTTTTTTCCTCTTTGTTTGTCTGTGTAGTTATTCTGTATTCAGTGCAGATCTTCACTGGGAATATACCTGGTGCTGGAACAGATGCTAAGGTCTTCATCACAATCTATGGAGACCTTGGAGACACAGGGGAGCGGTACCTTGGCAAGTCAGAAAACAGGACTAACAAATTTGAAAAAGGAACGGTATGGATGGACACACTCCTATCTCCCTGTCCTTCCCTTCTCCCTTACCTCCATCCTCAATGCATCCCCTAATTGTCTTCTTCATAATCTCTGGGGCAAAGTCTTTCTCTAAAATTTTGCATTGACCCTTCATGCTGTTCCCCATGCTTGCCCCAACCAGGCATGTTTTCTTCTACTGTTTCTGCCTCTCCAAACTCACCTATCTTGCAAGGCCCAACTCATAGCCTACCTCCTTTGTGAAACCCTCCCTAACTATCCCAGACTTCAATGATCTCTCCCTCTTAAACTCCTGAACTCCTAAAGTTTTTATTTTTTTGCCACTCACTTGTCTCTTATTATATACCAACTTGTATTGTTATTTGTTTCAATGTATATTAACCTTGCCTCTCTAATTAGACTCTAAGCTATTGGAGGACAGGAACTATGTCTTCTTCATATTTGTATTATTCAAAGAAGCTACAGAGGTCTTTGTATTATCACCATCATCAAGTATTTTGCAAGTGTCCAATACATACAGATCATTCTCCTAGATCCTAGGGGTACAGAGAGGTAAGAGATCTGAACCCAATAATGGATGCATTTATAACATAATCAGGGAAACATGACCAATTAAAAAAAACTTTCTAGGATTGATTACATGTGATGAATGTTAGAAGAGTGATACATAAAGTAAGTAGAATAGGAGTTCAAAAGAGAGTGTTTTCATTGGGCTGAGGAAGGAAAGGAAAACCCAATACAGGAGATAGATCTCAAGATTGGATCAGATCACTGAATACCTGGGTTCTAGTCTCAGATTTGCTATTAACTAATTATATGACCTTTGGAAAGTCATATAACTCTTGGTCTATAGTTTCTTCTACTATGAAATATGGAATTTGGTCTGATCTTCTAGCTTTATTATTCTTACACAAGAAGGGGAGATTCAATGAAAAGAGTACTGGCCCTATAGTCAGAGGACTCAGGTTCAGAAGACCTGGGACCTGCCTCTGGTGTTTACTATCTGGGCGATCTTAGGTAAGTCATTTAATTTCCCTGGGTCACAGTTTCCTCATCTGCACAAGGAGAATGTTGAACAAGATCTCTGAGGTGCCTTCTAGCTCTAAGTTAAGCCCCAGGACCTGGACACCTATCACAGAGCTTCCACTGGACAGTATCTAATGCCCAAGGCCAGTGTTGGGAATATTTTCTCTATCTTTTCTTTCCCTTTCCATTCCCACTCTCTCTTCTATTCTTCCCATCCAACTTATCTCTCTTTTTCTATCTACTCTTATTCCTTGACTATATTTCCTTTTCCCCAAACTTGGCAGCCTTAGGCTTGCCCACATCTCTCTGTGGTCACAACCATCATTGCTGACTTTACAGCTGTAGCTAGAGGGCTTGTAATATGATACTCTGGAAGGCAAAGGAGTTAAGATTACAACCAAGAATAACCTACCCAGAAAAACTGAGTATAATCCTTCGGGGGGGGGAAAGGGATATTTAATGAAATAGAGGACTTTCAAGTATTTCTGTTAGAAAGACCAGAGCTGAATAGACAATTTAACATTCAAACAGAAGACTCAAGAGAAGCATAAAAAGGTAAATATGAAAGAGAAATCATAAGGGATTTAATAAGATTAAACTCTTTGTATTCCTATGTGGGAAGATGATACTTGTAATTCCTAAGAATTTTATCATTATTAGGTCAGTCAGATGAAGTATACATAGAAAGAAGGAACAGGTATGAATTGATTATGATGGGATGATTTCAAAAAAAAATTAAGGGGGGGAGAAAGAGGGATGCATTGGGAGAAGGGGGAAGGAAGAGGTAAAATAGGGAAATTATCTCACATAAAAGAGGAGTGAAAAGAAAAGCTTTTATAGTGGAAGGAAAAAGGGAGGGGAGGATGGCAGGCAGTGTTTTAACCTTACTCTCATCAGAATTGGTTCAAAGAAGTAATAAAATATACCCTCAGTTAAATATAGAAACCTATCTCACCCAAAGGGGAAGTAGGAACAGAAGGGAATAAAAGATGGGAGAAGAGGGCAGCTGATAGAAATGAAGGCAGATTAAGGGAGTCAGTGGTCAGAAGCAAAAGATTTTTTGAGGATAATGGGTAGGGGAGATAAATAAGGAAAAAATAGAATGCAGGGAAATACACAGTTAGTTATCATAACTGTGAATGTTGAATGGGATGAACTCACTCATAAAATAGAAGTGCATAGCAGAATAAATTAAAAACTACAGCCCAACATTATGTTGTTTACAAGAAACACACTTGGGGGGGGCAGATCCAAGATGGTGGAGTAAAAGCAGAGACTTGCTCGAGCTCTTCCTCAAATCCCTTGAAATACTTGCAAAAATGACTCTAAACAAATTCTAGAGCAGCAGAACCCACAAAAAGACAGAGTGAAACAAATCTCCAGCTCCAGACAACCTGGATGGTCTACAGGAAAGATCTGTTGCACCAGACTGGGAGAGAAGTGCAGGTAAGCATGGGCCATGATGGCATGAACCAGAGCAGGTCTCAGGGGACTGAATCACAAGCAGCTGTGGCAGTTTGCAGACTTCTCAATCCACAAATGCTAAAGACAACTTAGAAGGTCAGTGGGAAAGGTCTGTTGGACCTGGGTGAGAAAAAAGTGCAGTGCAGCCCCAGGGTGGCAGCAGCAGTGGCAGCGGCAGTTGCAGTGGCAGTTGCAGTGGCTGCTTCCAGAGCTCTCAGCCCACACATAATAAGGGGATCAAACAACTGATCAGAAGGAGATTACAGAGATCTCTTTGATAGCACTGGGGCAGGATTCTGTTGCTTTGCCCATGCTTAGATCTGGGTCACAGTCCTGGGTGGTGGTCCTGGGGTAAGGAGGAGCACTGGCATAGCAGAGCTTGTGGCAGTAGTAAAGAGGGAACACTCCTCACAGTTCCAGGGCAGAAAAGAGTGCTGGTGGTCACTCACAGACCAGAGCACAGGCCAGAAGAGGAGTAAACACCTCTTCTTAGATCACACCACCTTGGAAGAAATGAAAACTTACAGGTCCTTAGAAGTATCTCTGAAAACAGCTGCGTAAAACCCTTGAAGCTTGGGACAGTGCACCCTCCACCATGGAAGCAGAGCCCTACTTTAACAAAGAGTTAAAAAGTCAAATAATTGGTTGGGGAAATGATCAAACAGTGGGAAAAAACTCAGACTATAGACTCTTACTTTGGTGACAAGGAATATCAAAACATACAATCAGAAGAAGACAACAAAATCAAAGCTCCTATATCCAAAGCCTCCAAGTAAAATATGAATTGGTCTCAGGCCATGGAAAAGCTTAAAAAAGATTTTAAAAATAAAGTAAAAGAAGTAGAAGAAAAATTGGGAAGAGAAATGAGAGTGATGCAAGAAAATCATGAAAATGAGTAAATAGGTTGCTAAAGTAGACCCAAAAAATCCTGAAGAAAATAACACCTTAAAAAATAGACTAGACCAAATGGCAAAAGAGGTCCAAAAAGCCAATGAGGAGAAGAATGCCTTAAAAAAGTAGAATTGGCCAAATGGAAAAAGAGGTCCAAAAGCTCACTGAAGAAAAAAAATTCCTTAAAAATTAGAATGGAGCAAATGGAAGCTAATGACTTTATGAGAAATCAAGAAATTATAAAACAAAACCAAAAGAATGAAAAAATAGAAGACAATGTGAAATATCTCATTGGAAAAACAACTGACCTGGAAAATAGATCCAGGAGAGAGAATTTAAAAATTATTGGAAAGCCATGATAAAAAAAAAAAAGAGCCTAGACATCATCTTTCAAGAAATTACCAAGGAAAACTGCCCTGATATTCTAGAACCAGAGGGTAAAATACAAATGGAAAGAATCCACTGATCACTTCCTAAAAGGGATCCCAAAAGGAAAATTCCCAGGAATATTATAGCCAAATTCCAGAGTTCCCAGGTCAAGGAGAAAATATTGCAAGCAGCCAGAAATAAACAATTCAAGTATTATGGAAACACAATCAGGATGACACAAGATTTAGCAGCTTCTACATTAAGGATCAAAGGTTTCGGAATATGATATTCCAGAGGTCAAAGGAGCTAGTATTAAAACCAAGAATCATCTACCCAGCAAAACTGAGTATAAATTATGAAGGGGGAAATTGACATTCAACGAGATAGAGGAATTTAATGCATTCTCGAGAAGCCAGAGCTAAATAGAAAATTTGACTTTCAAATACAAGACTAAAGAGAAGCATGAAAAGGTGAACAGGAAAGAGCAATCATAAAGGACTTGTTAAAGTTGAACTATTTACATTCCTACATGGAAAGATATTTCCAACTCATGAGACCATTTTCATTATTAGGGTAGTCAGAAGGAATAGATAGATAGATAGATAGATAGATAGATAGATAGATAGATAGATAGATAGATAGATAGATAGATAGACAGACAGACAGACAGACAGACAGAAAGACAGAGGGCACAGGGTGAGTTGAATATGAAGGGATGATATCTAAAAAATAAAATTAAAGGGTGAGAGAGGAACGTACTGGAAGAAGGAGAAAGGGAGAGATAGAATGGGGTAAATTATCTTACATAAAAAAGGTAGGAAAAAGCTTTTACAGTGGAGGGGAAGAAAGGAGGGGTGAGAGAGAATGAGTGAACTTTACTATCATCAGATTTGGCTTAAGGAGGGAATAACATGCATACTCAATTGGGTATAAAAATCTATCTTACACTATAGGAAAGTAGGGGGGAAGGGGATAAGATAGGGGGGTGATAGAAGGGAGGGCAGTTTGGGGAAGGGCATAATTAGAAGTAGACACTTTTAAGGAGGAACAGGGCAAAAAGAGAGAATAAAATAAATGAGGGGTAGGATAGGATGGAGGGAAATACAGTTAGTCTTTCACACCATGACTATTACAGAAGTGTTTTGCATGACTACACACATATAACCTATATTTAATTGCTTGCCTTCTCAATGATGGTGGGTGGGGAGGGAGGAAGGGAGAGAATTTAGAACTCAAAGTTTTTAAAATGAATG